CGTGATAATTCTACACGTGGTAATTCGACGCGTGGTAATTCGATGCGTGGTAATTCGGCGCGTAGTAATCCACGCGTGGTACTTCAACACGTAGTAACTCGACGCCTGGTTATTCGACGCGGGGATGCGTGGTAATTCGACACGTAGTAATCCACGCGTGGTACTTCAACACGTAGTAACTCGACGCCTGGTTATTCGACGCGGGGTAGATCCATACGTAGTAATTCCACTCGTGGTAATTCACCAATCCCAGCACAAGGATCACGCGCGCTCTGATTGATCCGTGTTTTTCCTTAATAATTAAAAAACGAAGTTTCAAACTCCATTTTTACAAAAGGAAATCTTATTCGGCATCACGTCAATTGTCCCCCATTTCAGGGACCTACACTGGTTGTGAGACACCCTGTACATCCTTTATATCTAGATATCTATACATCGATATATCTATTATTCTTAAATATATGAATTCTTTGTAAAGAAACTGAGATATGAGAAATTTTATTTTTGTCCATATAAAAATTACAACTTAAATTCTAATCGTAGCTCTTAGCTCGATATCGTTTTCTAAAAATTATTCTTTAAAACATTTTTAGAAAACAATATCGATTACCAGGTCACACCACGTGGAGGTGGCTACGATAGTAACCCACCCTAACTCCAAATCCCTTCCACCCTCCAAATGCAACCTCATTTATCAGAAGGATAAATGAGTTCTGACTCTACATACAAGTTCTTTACCACAATCCAGTAAAGAACTTGTATTACACACACACATACATACATTAACTTAATACTAATCGCATGGGATCCCACACACGCACGCTTAACTTATTCTAAACGCCGCACGGTACCTCTCATTCTAAAATTGCACTCAAGTAATCTATGACGAATTCAAAAAGCAAAGGAAAGAAAGTTGGAAGAACTTTCTATCAAAAGCTAAGAAAGTTAGAAGAACTTTCTGTCAAAAAAGGGAAACAGTATTTTTCGCCAAGTGAACCTTGCTTTCCATGGGTCAAAGGGTAGTCCACAGTGGCTTACGTGAACCACGACGGCAAAGATGAACCGAAGATACCTTTGGCAAGAACGAGTGATACACCCCTTTAGAATGAGGGGCACTTACAAGGGCCCACCCGCCCTGCCCACAAGCATACTTAACTTAGGACTAACGCACGCATAAAATTAGTTTAAAACTAACGCACGCATAAAATTAGTTTAAAACTAACGCACGCATCCCTCGATGATCTCCCGATGATCCCTCGATGATCCCACGATAGATGTCTTCAATGATGACCTATTCATTACCTACAAAATAGTTATTCGTAACAATAAAAAGAGGAAACGGAGAAACAAATGCAATATTAATAACATTATAATGTTTAGACATGCACAATTTATGCTAGCATACAAAATTCACATTAACATTTTCGGAATAAAGAACTCGAGTCGACTCAGTGGAAATACACCTGTAAAATATACAATATACTTGAGAAATATTCAATTACTTAATTAAAATGAAAACCTGAAACATACAAATACAATTAAGACACATATGAATAAATAAATTTCCTACATAAGATTGAAACCTGAAACATACAAAAAGTAATTAGAACAAATATGAAACATACTACAATAGAAAAAGCCCTAAATGTGCCTTTTGTTCTAAAATTGCACTCGTATAATGTAAAAGTAAGTAAAGAAAAGAGTAAAAGAAGAAAGTTGGAAGAACTTTCTTTTGAGTTTAAAGCAACTGTTAATATAAATGATAGGCTACTACTACAAACTAATATCTAACAAGTTAAAAAATTGTCGTCAAGATGAGTGCAAGTTAGAATAAAAGGCACAATTTGCGTAAGTTTTTCGTCACAAATCGTGACGAAAAACTTACGCCCGAGCCCACCCTTCCTCCCACAGCTCGAAATTAACTTAAAACTAATGCACTGAACATAACTTACCAAGAATTAAATTCTAAAACAGATAAAAATTTATTAAGACAGAAATTTGAGAAGAGAGAACATGTTAACTTACCAAAAAATAAGATCTGAAACATACAAAATTTTATTAACCAATAAAATTGTACGAGGAGAAGTGAAACAACCCTATCGAGAAACAAAAAATGCAATGAAAAATACGAATTTAAAATCAATCAACAATAAAACAATTTGTTCAAAATCTATTCCTGAAACAGAAAAAAATAATTAACATATAATATTCAGGGAAATTAAAATCGCGAAGGGGTATACAAATCTCGAAGCTCGAGATAAAAACGCGAAGGGATGTAAAAATCTTGAAACTCGAAATTTATTCGCGAAGAGATACGAAAATTTTTAATTCCGTAATTTAATTGCGAAGGGATATACAAATTTTTAATTTCGTAATTTAATGGCGAAGGGATACAAAAATCTCTAATCTCGAAATGTAATCGCGAAGGGATGCAAAAATTTCTAATTTCGAAATGTAATCGCGAAGGGATGCAAAGATCTCTAATTTCGAAATGTAATCGCGAAAGGATACAAAAATCTCTAATTTCGAAATGTAATCGCGAAGGGATGCAAAGATCTCTAATTTCAAAATGTAATCGCGAAGGGATGCAAAAGTCTGTAATCTCGAAATGTAATTGCAAAGGGATACAAAAATCTCAAAATTTAATCGCGAAATTATGCAAAAATTTTTAATCTCGAAATTTAATTGGGAGGGCATAAAAATCGCGGGTGGCTTTGCTCGTAAAAATTCGAGCAAAACGATACATTTTGCATCGTTCAAAAAAATATATGTAAAACACAAGAAAATAATAGCGAGCATAGTGACAAAATGACTGTCCATCCTAGGATGGACAGCCATTGATAGTTCCCCTCTTCTTTGGCAACTTTGCCGGGGCTCTTCGGCATATAGCCTCTTCTCTCTTCGGCATAGCCTCACGAAAATCACTCGCGAAATTTTACGGTAACTCGGACATTCTTATTTTTTAATTACATATACTCTCAATTTTACTATCAATCTCCATAAACGGATAACAGACAATTTTATAAAAATAAAATTGCACCACTATCCATTTATTTCGATCGATAACAAAATCGAAATTTTATGCAATATATAATAAATTAGTTTGGTAAGAATAATAATTACTCAAAATAAAAATACGAACAGCGATTCTTAAAACGTGCTGTCCGTAAAAGAATGTCCGAGCAGAATATTTTATTTCACTGCACTTCATTTCACTGTATACTTCATTTTTGCAGTCGGATCTAGAACCCGACTGCGACTTACAAACTAAAAGGCCTGGCCTGAACGAACAATCGAGTTCAAGAGATATTAAATATATTCATATTTAATTTTTCTCTTCTCGATTTTTCGTGAACCCCCAAATGCAAGCATCTCACGTGTGAGAGAGAAGGAAAGAGAAACTTGAAAGCTTGCTCTGGCCTCACCTACTTAAAACTAATTCATTCACACCAGAAGTAAGCTACCTGCCTGCCTATCGCTATATTTAAAAAATTGCAAAGTCCATTCTCACAAAAACACACTCCACGGTTCTCACACATACCACCCGGGTGCAAGAAAGCCTAATCCTAGGGAGTACGTCCCGGGACGTCTCCGACACCCGAGTTCAATACAACATTCACACTCTAAGTTCATACCTTTTTGCTGAAATCGATCGACAATCGACAGTGAACATTGAACATATTTCATTTCCGTACTCTTTCGAATATGTAATATGTACGTGCAGTAATTTTAACTACTCGTACAATTTTCTAACTTATTCAATTTATATAATTTTCAAATGACTCTACTTGTATTTTGTATGCATTTTCAAATGACTCGACTTGTATTTTGTATGCATTTTCAAATTACTC